GCAGCAAATCAGCATATTAGAATGATTTCTGAAGGATCATGTGACACTGAAGACTGAAGTAATGACGCTGAAAATGCAGCTATGCCCTCACAGGAATAAATTTAAAAATTTAAAAATAGAAAACATTTAGTGAATTTTTAGTGGTGCAACGGATCGCAAAACTCACGGTTCAGATCATATTACGGATTTTGAGTCACGGATCGGGTCATTTTTCGGATCAGCAAAAATTTTTTATTTATTTTTTTAAATGACTGAAAGCTTACTTTAAGTACTTCTATACAGCAAAAACTACCCGCGTAACTAATAAAGTCAGTAATAAAACAAGAACAATAACACAATTTACAAGCACAGATGAATACAACTTCACACGTATGGATCATGGATCATCTACAGCCTTCTACACTGCGCGATTTTAGCAATCCTATAAGATCATTGCAAATCACACTGTGCGCCATGGATCTGATAAACTTGGGTACGACATGTATGCAGACTGTACGATGACGACACCTATTGACTCGTAGGCTACGACGCACGTTACTATAGAAGAATAAAACGTCATCAGCATGCGCTAGTGGTAAACAAAAAGAGCATGATGAATCACACTTTGGCAGTTGTAGTTTTTATGCGTGCTGAAAAAAAGCGCAAGCGGCCAAAGAGGAAGAGATAAGAGCTTGAGTTACGCAGTTTTATGTTTTAGCACCGTGTCGCGTTGATTTCATGTCACGTTTAGACATAAGACCACCAATTAGGAGCCACGATTACAGAAATCGCCATGATTGTTTCACGATGCCAATCTTTCGTCTGGGACAGATGAAAATTGTGCAGTGTTTCTTGGGCTTAAGATCCGTTGCACCCCTAGTTATTTTGAATTGCAATACTATTTTACAATATTACAGTTTTTACTGTATTTTCACTGGGAAAGTTCTTTACTGTATCGTTTTACAGAAAAACAATTTTACTAGTATTTGACGGCTGGCTAGTGTTAATTTTGGACCACGTTAGTAACCTTACTGTCTTTTTGTCTAAGCAATATTCTAGGACCTTGTATAGTAGGGCTGTGCGATATGGACAAAAAAAAACTATCGCGATTTGTTTGATCAATTTTGCGATTTTGATTTTAATCACGATTTTGACACAGACATGCTTTACAGTCATAAATGCATTCAGTGTGAATTTGAAACATATTTCAAAAGAAAACCAATTAGAGCTTTATCAAGAAGCTGTAACATGTCTCTAGAACAGACATAAGGCTATTCACATTTAAACTCAATAAATATAACTTTGTTTAACTACCACCACGAGTGCCATCTATTATTGCGTTGTTTATCTAAAAGTGCACTTTTCCTTGCATTTATGGTGTAATTACTACATTTCTGTGTCAATCTATGTTAATTTTTACCAAATTAAGATTGTTAGAAATCTCGTATGCTCAAATCGCGATTTTATGACGATTTCGATTAATCGCACAGCCCTATTGTATAGTAAACAAAGATTCAGCTAGTAGACGCAATATGACCCCTTATAACATGAGTTGATGGCAACACATGTTGGACGATCACTCTGTAATTGCATGTCTAGAGACCCGTTACATTAAAAAGACACCTCCCACAATTTCTTTATCAACTAAACCAACATGTAAACAACAACTTCCACTGAACACACCATAAGGCTGTATATAAATAGCTACAAACCCAGTGCTACCCTTGTTAGGCCTTAATATCCAGTTACAAGCCACACAAACATCCAGACACAGATTAGCGTTGGGGAATTTTTCAGCATGCTGGGTCACACAATAACTAGATTTTTATCCAAGTTCATATTCCCAAAATGGTTCATCTCCATGATTCAGAAGCAGCAGCTTTTATGACCCTATGCTGACCTGTTTAAGAGGGGCCAAATGGCTATGAATCAGTATCATATGCAGAGTATGACAGCAACGTCAGCTACAGCTAAAAGATCTCCCCTTTGTGCAAGAATAAACTATCTGTCTCAAAATCCCTCCTTACCTTTATCAGACCAGTCAGATTCAGAGTAACACCATATTCTAAACAGGCACGTCATTAGCCAATCAGATCATATTTGATGGTTAATATTCACTTATGTGCAACATTATCATGGATTACTTATGGGACTAATGAAAGCAACACCACAGAAATAGAGTCTGGTTCCGGCAGTAAACAAAAAATCCCATTCATTTTACAGGGGAATTGATTTTGAACAATAACTTATAATCCTTTAAAACCAGACCTACTGTGAGCTATGAGGTTGTTAATAAATTATATATGCTTTTGTTGAAATCATAAAACTGCATTATTTCAACTTATTTTTTGAATAAAGAAATAAGTTGAAACAGAAATTCATTGGACAGTAGTTCTTTCCCTCATTGAAGTTGATAAGTACACAGTCTTGTACCTTTGTCTTTTGTCCAGTTTTTAAATGCTCTTTGGCTTCAAATAAAAGTATTGTTGTTCAAATGATTTGTAATGTTGTGATTCACCTCATAGCTAGTTGGTTTGGTTCATGGCTTATAAATCTTTAACAAAGACTTGTTTAAAATCCCTACGGGAAAAATGAATGAGAAAAATACTTCCAGAACCAAGGCCGCTGCAAAAGTGGACAAGCACTGTTGCACTCTATCGAAACTGTGCAACCAAACATAAGTGCTTGCTATGGTTGCAGCTGGTTAAAACAAAAACACAAATTCACATGAAAGAGATTTATCGCTTTTCAACTTATCGAGTTGCGCCTGGTTAGGACATGGTGTAATAGAACATTTTCTAGAACATGGAGTTTAAGATACACGACTCACATCATAATCTAGAATAGAGAATGATTATGATGATGATCGCCTTAAAGTCGCAATGAAACTGAAGTAGCGACAGATCTTTTCTTTGGTATTGTGACGTAAATCTGAGTGTACCGGATTATCAAAAAGCAGATGAACGTGTGCTTTGGGTTTAAGTAGACTAAATGATTGGAGAAGTCCTGTATAGTGTTGTGATTAAACATAATGAGGTCAATTTTTTTAATGAAACGTGCATGGATGAGGTGTTCAAAATAATATCTATAATATGCATTTAGAAAAAAGACTTCAAAACATGAATTGTGACCATGTCTGTTGGTCTGTCTTTTGATGACTCCTCCATAACAATTTGATAAACTAACAATCATGAGTTTGAATGGTTTCACTACTTTTTAACATGAAAAACAGCATTGCCTAATAATAGGTAGCACACAAGCAATTTACAATAAACATAATAATAACAATCAGTTCTACTTTGAAAAAAAGTAAGGCAACCGATTTAATCGACTGACAGGCGACGGACAGTTCCAGGCGTACTAATCGGCTGATGCTTATGAAAGCTGAGGTGTTGAGTAGTGAGTGAGTAAATTGTGACTGTGGAACGTGGGTGGTGAGAGTCACAGGGAAAGAAGCAAGCAGCGTGTGAGTGTACGTCTCTCTCCATGTTGAATGTGGGACAGCATGTCCTGACTGCATCTGCACGGGGATGAATCAGTGGGTGTGTTTGTGTCACGTACACACATGGTGCAGATATGCACAGGTCTGCTATATATCTCAGAAATAACTCACGGGACACACGGTCTCTTTGAAGTGATGTGTGAATCACGGATGATGTTCCTGGTTAGAGGGCGTATTGGGATTCGGAGCGTAGAAAAACATATGGACCAATCACACAATACACAGAGTCCACACTAATAGATCTGTCATGATGCTACTGCAGTCACCGACTAGTTAACAGTAAGTTTCCATACTATATACGGTGAATAACTGTAATTACATTTAATGTAATTTTACAGTAAAATACTGTTAAAATTACGTTTTTTGGACATGAAAAAGAAAGAGTCATTGTATAATTTACAGTGAAACAACAGAATTCCCTGCATGACATTTCACATTTGATGTTTTTTCGTTGAAATAACAGTTTCTTCTTAGTTTTTTTTTCTTCTCAGTTGTGTACATTAGAATTTGATCTTACATCTAATGTTATTAAATGAATTGTATTATTTCAGTATCATGTGTGTCACCATGATGGGGTTTAGTGTTTGTGTGAATGACACTGTGTGCACCTTCTATATATTAGTATTTCCCTCTCCAGCTTGTGGAAAAGCTGTTTGTGATGAGCTTTGAATCATCATGTGACTTTATCATTACCATCTGTTAATGCTGGTTATCAGTGTATTACAATGGTTCAAAGCAGATATTAGTACTTCACTAGGTTGGTATATTAACATTACATCAGTTAATGAAATACATTTTTTATTATGAATTTAAGTTAAGTCTGTAAAACCTAAAATGTTGCTACCTTATTTTTTATGGCGAAGTTCTGGCAACCACAGCTGCCGGTATTTTACCGTAAATGTCACAGAATTTTTTTTTTTTTTTTTACATTTTACGTGGCAGTACCTGTTGCTAAAATTTCTCTTGCTTATTAATTTTTTAGTTTCAAGTCATTGTAGATTCGTTGGTTGGTTGGTGTTTTCATGTCAAGTCTGTAAAACCTAAAATGTTGCTACCTTATTTTTTATGGCGAAGTTCTGGCAACCACAGCTGCCGGTATTTTACCGTAAATGTCACAGAATGATTTTTTTTTTTACAGTGTACGTGGCAGTACCTGTTGCTAAAATTTCTCTTGCTTATTAATTTTTTAGTTTCAAGTCATTGTAGATTCGTTGGTTGGTTGGTGTTTTCATGTCAAGTAACAAGTTAAAATACTATAAAAAAGCAATTTCTTCAAAAATTTCTTTGAACGTATTTTCATACAAGTAGATGGAAGTACCTGCTGCTGAAATTGTTATTGGTCTTGGTTTTTCATTTCACGTTTCAGGCGTTTTTGTGGCGAGTAACAAGTTAAAATACTATAAAAGAGCTTATTTTTTAAATTTGCTTTGGATAAAAACTTTAAAATGGATTCAGGATTGACTAGGCTAAAGATTTCTTCAAAGGAGTTTTCGTTATCGTAGAAACCTAGTGAAAGTACCTGCTGCTGCAATTTTTCTTGTTTTTGATTTTTCGTTTCAAGCCATCCCTCTCTTTGTTGCTGGTGAAGGGTAACATGGAGGCATAGCCGTGCTCCGCTTCTGCAAATTCAAACAGAGACATTTAGAAGCTCATTAGACCACAAAGCACATTGGCTACCTGAAAATCAAAGCCATTGATCACAAATATTGACCATTTTTTAGAACCTGGGAGAAAGGCAGTTATGCTCTACGTTAAAATGAACCAATTTCTTGTCAAATATCTTGCTTTTGGGTCAATGATGTCATCTGAACTGGAGTAAACCCAATAGCCAGCCGAACCACAACAGATAGATGGGAGGGGGGATGCACCAGAGAACCCTCCACTGTATACCAACAGCAGTGCTTGAAAAATGCATTTCAGTTCCACATTTGCACACAAACATGTAATAAAAAATCATTACAAATATATATATGCTATAAACGCTTGGGTTTTATCCCTAGAGAGCGTTAACAACACACTAGTGTCCCCTGTAAAAGACAAGTGTATGGTGACTAGCCAGCACACAGTCTCAGACATCTGAAGTGGCCACTTCTCCTGTTCTCCATGTCTTGATCTTCCCCAAATGTCATAACAACGTGGGGGGAAAAACCCCGACTGCATATCATGCATTCACCTCTAATAAATAGGTCGAATAACCCATTTTTTGCTTTTCAGCAGACAAGCACCCTAGCAACAGTGTCAGGATTAATTTGCATGCCAGAATACAATTTTATATTGACTACAAATATGTATCTCGTAATACGTCACTTTACCTCTTTCTCTTCGATCAAGATATTCAGCTGCTTCGATCAACATCTGCAGTTTCTCAATAGCCGTCATTTTAGGCAATAAACACCGATAAAAACGACAATGCGGGTCAGAAATAAACGAGGAAAAAAACAAGCAGTAGCCTTTCGTTCAATCACGCTTCTTCCTCCTCCAGCGTTTCGACTAAGAAAAATCCAGTCAGGCGAATTAACTTTTTTTTTTTTTGTATAAGACAGCGAGGGAAATGTTTAGATATGGGGTTTGTTGATAATTCAGAAATTTGTACAAAAAATGGTAGTAGGGGCTCTCAAAAATGGGGAGTAAAAAAATCTAACAAATAAACATGCTGGTTTCCAAAATAGCCGGATGATAAAAACCGAATAAAAATGTCCCTCAGCTGCCAAAAACAACGTAATTAACTAGTCCTGTTCATATTAAACGAGATATTGGACATCAAATGTTAAAACTGGGAGGAAAACACGACACGAACAACAAAAAACCGTCCAGGTTTGCAAAATCTGGCAACTCTTCCTGAAAGCATGTAAATTAAGTGGTGACACTCAGGAAGGTCTAAAGACTTTTATAGATGAGCTGTCAAACAGATAAGAGCTTACAGCTTCAGTTCTGCACTTGGTCAATTTTAGGCTCTGATACTGACAGTAAACGCTGTTAACTAGAGACCACCGTTGAGTCTGGAAAAAAAAACAGGCAAAAATACTGGATTGACAGCTCAGTCAGATCGATCTGATGAGGGTACAGGTTGCCAGATTGTAAAGCTTGTCAAAAAAAAAAAAAAAAAAAAAAAGAGTATATTTAAGCAGCTGGTGATATTATTTTTGCTAATAATTTTGAGCTTTGGTGCTGCTGTGTTGGTTGCTGGCTGGAAAACAAAACAGCATTCAACCTTCTTCCTTCTTGTTTAATTAAAAAAGCGTCAATTTTGACATGCCTGTCCAGCGAGGTGGTAGACAATATTGTGTTGTGTAATAAAAAAAAAAAAAGGAAAAATCTTGGTTGGTCGTTGAAAAAATGCGTTGAAAATAGGCTTTAAAATAGAATACACGGCCTCCCAACGTCCAAACAATCGCTGGTTTCGATATTTCAAGCGTGACAAACGATCTGGCTACTTCTTAAACAGCTCGAGCTGCACATGCTAAGCTGTGGCTGTGTGCAACTGATGAAACTGAATCAAAAATAGGACAAAAAACACGCAGCTAGCGAAACCATAACGTCGTTGAGCCAGGCAGATGAGATGTTTGCTAGCTGCTGTCATGTTACTGTACGCCTCTCAGAGGCTCGGGAGAACCTGCGATTCTATTGGATGGACGATACAGGAAGCGGGCTTCTCATTGGATGCGTTTGCTGTCAATCTACCAGAGCGTATCTAGAACGGACCAATGGCTGAGCTGCATTCTAAAGCGTGAATATGACTGCTGTAATGCGATTCCGCAAGATAATGGTGCAACTAAGCAGCACCGTAGCGCCATTTTGGAGCGAGGGTAGAACCTGTGCCGTTGTATTCTGGCATCTGCTCCTGAGCCAAAATGGATCATTATGCAAATCGTGTGTTGTTGTTATGCTACGATTGGCTGTTCTGCCGCAGCACTGTCGCCTGTTATTGGGCGCCTTTAAAAGGTTCCGGAACTCAGACACACCTCCCTTGTACATGCTGATGGTTAAAATGACTTAACATGATTTGTACGTTTTAAACAGATAACAGTGGAATTATTTTCTAATTCTCTTGATGTTTTTAAACAAATTAAGCACCGTTAAAAATATATGATAGAGTTGTCATTTTTCAAAAACAAATGATATTAAAATTGCACAATAACACTGGACAAAGACAAAAATATTCATTATGAGTTCCCATTTATTCAGTACTGCTAAATAAGGTATACAAGGCAATCAATGCGCAATATCAAATCCTTTTAATATTTGCTCCTACAAACTAAACTGACGCTTACATTACAGCCATTAACTGAAAAACAAAACAGATGGAAAAACTGCTGAAACACAGATTTACATAAACTCGGGGAAGAAAAGAGAATATACGTTTAATCACAAAGACATCAAAGTCGTTAAAACGTGGTTACTGACGACTCCATCAGGCAATAAAATCCAAAGGTCTGTTGAAACCACCTTTCCTGTTCATGTATTGCCTGCAAGAGAAATATGATTACATCATTGATCTCCTTCCTGCACCAAAACATTACATCACTGCCCACCAATGAGAACGTTCGTCATTTAGCTGTGCAGTACCTGCAGGGGTGATTGGCCAAATACGTAACTGTTGCTGGGATATTAACTTTTCTCATAACACTTGCCGTTTGTACATATAAAATAAAAAGATTCATTTATAAAATAAAGCCAGGAATTACAAATCACAGAACTAATACCAAGTTGATGATCTTGGAGTTGGGCAGATGACCAGTATTAATTTCAGAAGAAAAAAAAATATGGTAAATACACAGACCTGTATTTTCTCTTTTGCGACACGTTAAATGCAAACGCAGCATTGGATCCCTCCTTCTTCTTGCCCTGTTGAATAAAAATGACAACAATCGTACACCATACATTATGCTCAAATTATGTAAACATTACTGTGCATGAAGAAAATAAATAGGGAAGAATTTTATAGCACACAATTAAAATTTTATCTTCAACTTTTATTTTAATTGATTTTTAACAGGAATATCTTTAGCATACACACTGTCTAGCCTTGCCATCTTGTGGTTATTTAGAGGATCAGCTTTGCCACTTGAAACTGCTATTATTTGTCAAGTATAAAAAAATTAAATACTATACATATTATTGTAAACAAACTACAAAGTACATCTACTTCTCGTTTGGTTGTTCTTGTAGAATGATCCGTTTAGCAGTAAAGAAAGGGATCTCACCTTTGTGCTGTCAAAGGCTCCAAAGCCCATCAGTTTCATCATCTCGATTTCCTCCTCAGTCTTTCCTTGCATGTCCTCAGCTGCATGAGCAATCAGATGAGAAAGCACATCAAAGTGTCAGACATGGGTACATTCAGGGTCTGTTCTCAGCACCGTGATATCAGAATGAAAAGCATTCACATCCCATTTTACTTCTGTAGTTTGACACTTTTGAGGAGGACTTTTGACTGAGACGTGTAGACTGAAGGTCAAGATCAACCTTGAGAGCATGTTGATGTAAGTCTACCATTCATATATATATATATATTTTAATGAACAATTATGACCGTTTATTTTTTATTTGGAATAACATGAACTGATGAATCATGCACAATAAGACTATGAACATGTAGCTGACCTGAGGAAAAAAACATTTTGTGAATAATACCATACTTTGACTTTATTAATATGTAAATACAGTGAATTCTGGTAAACACAGGAACACTGACTATACATGATTTTCTCACCTTCTTAACAAAATTGTACGTATCACTTAGCTTTGACTGTTTTGATTGATTCTAAGTGGGAAAATCTTTAGATTCAGAGAACGGCTAATGCACATCTGAAATGAGACTTTATAGAGTGCTGCAAGAATGACACATTTTTGTAGGCCAAAACCCAGAAATGAGTTGGCATTTTTGCACTTCCGGTTCCATCGTCCTGAAGTCAATGTGTATTTTGAAAAGGTTTTGTTTAAATGCCTGAAATAAGGTCTGTGGTTAACACAAGCTCAAGAAGTTTTCAGTTTACTCTACATTAGTAACCTAGTGTGTGTGTTTTTTAAAGCCTTTACTTTTATATTAAACATCATCATGCTGAACAGGAAAAACTCATCTACTTACCAGTCTGATTTTACAGTCTTTGGGCCAGATTTACTAAACAGGGCAAATTAGCATGAGAGCACAATCCCATAAAAGCGCAGATGGGAGTGGAAAGTTCTGTGGCTGATCTACTGACAATACGTAAATTATAGAGACAGACACAGCCGGATGATTTCCATATTGACAAACGCAATCTACTAAGCAGCACAAGTTAGTGTAAGGTCATAAACAACAGTAACAGTAACTAGGTTACAAGTGACAAGTCTGGCCTACAAAAACCATCATCGCTACAGCACTCTATTGCAGAGTAAAAAGGGTTAACAGAGTGACAATCTCCACCTGATATCTGATGGACCTTTGCTGGTTTGTCCTTAACTTCCTTCCTGTCATCGTCCCGTCTGTCCTTCTGCCGCAGTGGAGATAGGGAGGAGGAGCGGTGTCGCCGTGGAGACCTGCACAAACAAGACAGGCACACAGCTGGAGGGAGGGTTTTCAAAAACTAAACAACTGCGTTTTATCTAACCAGATTCACAGGCTTATGTTCTTCACTTATCCTCTGTGTGTACATATTGTGAACAGCGAGTGTCTGATGCCACAAGCTCACCTGGATCTGCGTCTGTGGGGGGAACGCGAGCGTGACCTTCGTCTGTCTCTGTCGCGGGACCGGGACCTCTCGCGCTCCCTGCGCCTCCTCTCACGATCTCGCGAGGACGAGCGTGAGCGCCGTCTCTCTGGAACGACAAATCATAAAGTCATTACAAACATAAGTCTGGGACAAAATAAATATTATGTTTGAATATTTGAATTTGCCAGCTGCCCGAAAAGTCCCTTGTTCCCTTCATTTGGTATACCAGTTCTTTTCATATTATTGAATAATTATTTTTCAGAGTTGGGGTTATAGTTTAATGTCCTTCCTTTTACAAGGAAATTTGTCTTGGACTCTAAAGCCACAGTGATACACAGATTACAACACAATACACAACATTAACAATTGACACCATCATTAAACACACACGCACACAAACAACTTTTAAAAGCTAAAAACTTTAAAACATCTTACCATTTAAAATACTAATAGATCCTTGTAAAAATTATTTTTTGGTAACAGTTGCTTTTACATAGTGGAACACTATAATGCTTCCCTTAATGTAGTAATTGATTAATTGTGACTTGAATCAGTTACTTCACCTAGGTTAAGCATTACAAGGTCCAGCCAAAACTAAATAAATAATAACATAAAAATACAACACAATTTTATGTGTACATAATTTCACCACCACATTCTTTTCTTTCTTCATATTTCAATGTTACAATCTATTGATTTTGTGCTAATAATTTTAAGTATGATTAATATGACTTTGAAATGTTTTTCTCTTCATTAAAATTATTTAAATGTTATAATCTGTTTTAGTGTGATCAATAATATTGAGATTATATTTGTTTTTACATTAAAAATAATTTTAATATTATAATCTATCAATTGCAGTGTGATCAAATGTTTAGATTATATTCATTTTCTGTAATGTTACAGATTTTTTTAACTTTAAAAAATGTAATGTTGTGATCTAGTCATTCTTTAGTGCAATCAGTAACGTGTTTGAGATCATTTTCATTTGTTTCATATTTTATTATAACCTATTGCTTTTACTGTGATCAATAACGTGTTAGAGATTATATTTTTTTAATAAAAATAATTTGAATGCTATTCATTTTAATGTGATAATGTATTTGAGATTATTTTTATTTTTCCCCATTTAAAAAATATGTTAATGCTAATTTTAGTGTGATCAATAATGTCAGCAACAAGCCATGATCTTGCTTATTTTGGCCTTTTGTCGTATATTGTTTGCAAGCCATTGCAATCATGATTTCCAGTAAATGGTGCATTTTCAATTAGTTTATCCCTGCTATTCATAACAAAATGAGATGTAGATGTTTATGGTAGTTAAAAAAAGATTTTTGAACAGTTATGCCACATGTAATTATATAAACATGATAATGAGCAACAATCAGAATCAATAGACATGAACAATCAATGCTTACTCAATGCCACATTCTTTTTTCTTCTATACATGTACTAAGTGCAATTCATTTTAAATCAAGGGGAAGGGTCACATTTTAATGTGCATCAGTGAAGCATTGTGAAATTTGCATCGGTGTGGACAGAGTGTACCGAAAACATGTTTCAAGTCACGAAACCATAATCAAAAACTGGTATGGCATGTAAAGGTCAGTACATGGATACACAGTGAGTCTGACTGGATGTGAAGATGTATGTGTGGATGCATGTGAAAGTATTAGTAAAGAACACTTGGAGAAAGTGCCTGTAAGAGTTCAAGATTCTGCTTTCTCTTTTTGTTTCTTGCTTTTCTTTAGAAAACAGGGGGCCTTGAACTTCTTTTTTTTCTTTAATGGCGATTTGGAAGGTGAGCCCTCTGGGGTGTTGCCTGCAGGCTTGTTGGGCGGGGCAGTGGGTGGGGCCGAGGGCGTGGTTTCTGACGTGTCAGTGGTGGACAGGGCCTTCATTTGTTTTTCTAGCTCCTCCTGCTGTTTCTTTTCGTCGCCTTTATCGTTTTGCACAGCATCTGTGATTTTTCCATCTGTATATAAATGCAATTGAAATGAAAACGGAAAAGAAATAGTACAGTAGAAAAAATGAAAAAAGAAAAGAAAAGAAAAAGCAGTTAAGCATTTGTCAAGATGGTTAGGGATGGAACAGAAGCAGCTGCTATGACATTACAGTTTTGGCCACCATGCTCATTCAAGTTGTGTGCAATGTCTTAGTTTCTATATACTCACTAGTGAGACAAGATCTCAGTACCAAACGATTGTCCTACAAATTATAATACAGGGACAGAGACAGACAGAGAAGCACAAAGGTGTGAAGACAGATGGAGGCCATAGTACAGAGCTGAAAATGTCACACATAAAAACAAAAACATGAAAACTGAAATGAAAACACTGACACAGACTTGAATACAGACATCCCATGTTACCGTACATCCCCCCTCCCCTTAAAGGAATAGTTCACCCAAAAATGAAAATTTGCTGAGAATTTACTCACCCTCAGGTCAACAAATATGTAAATGAGTTTATTTCTTCATCAGAACAGATTTGGAGAAATGTAGCATTACAGCACTTGCTCACCAATGGATCCTCTGCAGTCAATGGGTGCCGTCAGAGTCCAAACAGCTGATAAAAACATCACAATAATCCACACAACTCCAGTGACAACATCAATAAGATATTTTTAACTTCAAACCATTGCTTCTGGCTAAAATGCCTAGTTGAAGTTAAAAAAGGTCTTGCTTGATTTATTTTTTCTTGCAAACATGCAGCTTTTCACTACACAAGACATCAACTGATGGACTGGAGTCGTGTGGATTACTTGTAGATTATTGTGATGTTTTTATCAGCTGTTTGGGCTCTCATTCTGACGGCACCCATTCACTGCAGAGGATCCGTTGGTGAGCAAGTGACGTAATGCTACATTTCTCCAAATCATGTCATTTTAATATATGCATTTGAAACGACATGACAGAACAGTAATTTTTGGGTGACCTCTTTCTTTAATGCCTTTATATTTACTGATACCAGATTATAAAAGCAATTAGCATTGATATACTTGAGCCCATATTATGGATAAAACAAACAATCAATCACTATTTTTTTATGTTCCATTTAGTAACAGGGGTTGTCAGCCAGAAGTTGATGATGCAACGCACAGATCAGCATGTGGGACCATAGCAGGTGTTTCTGCAGTGTCATGTTCACATGCACACGTGTGAATAAAGCACCACCGGGTCTCACCTGACGGTGGGGTCTTTTTGGGGGAGGTAGTTGGGGAAGTCCCCGTGTCATTCACCACCTCCTCCACACCTTTTAAACAACATCAGGATAGGGGGAAGAAGAAGAGAGGAAACAGAAATAGAGGGAAATAAGGTGGAGGTGTACAGTGAGTAATAACCATTGTTGGGGAGTAATTTACTAAAAATAGCGTTGCTAAATAAATAACATTTTTTAGCAGAGTGACAGTAGCTCAGCTGATTTCAGTAAAATTTTCCATTCAAGTTATCACTTAGTGTTCACAAAAGTCCCTGCATTTCATTTAAATACAATAATAATGTATATTTAGGTAAATGCTGCTGTTTATAACAGTGTTTAATACACAAATTGAGATAATCATTGTTTTTGTACCACAAAAATAATGCCAGAAAAGAACATACAATATCATTCAAAAATTTGCAGTCAGCAAGATTTTGTTTGCTTTAATTAAGACTTTTACTCAACAAGGGCACATTAAATTGATCCAAAGTAAAGGTAATGACATTTATAATGTTACAAAAGATTTTCTTTTGAAAGTTCTTCTGAACTTTGTTTTTATCGGTGAACCCTGATGTTAAAATGTATCCAGGTTTCCACAAAAACATTAAGCAGAACAACTGTTTTCAACATTGATAATAATAAGAAACGTTTCTTGAGCAGCAAATCAGCATATTAGAATTAGATTGAATTAGAATAAGATTTCTGAAGGATCATGTGACACTGAAGACTGGAGCAATGATCTTGAAAATTCAGCTTTGTCATCACAGAAATAAATTATATTTTTAAATATATTAAAATAGAAAACTTAAATTGGAATAATATTTCACAATATCACTGATTTTACTATATTTTTTTTCATCAAATAAATGCGTATAAGACAGTTCTTTCAAAAAACATTTAAAAAAATCTTACTGACCACAAACATTTGAAAAGAAATGTAGCTTTTACTTACTGTTGTACCTTGCCTATCCATCTTAACTATAGTTTAACTACTTTAAATCATTATAGTTTGTAGCTTGGCGAGTAACTTCCCCAACATTGGTAGTAACTGTAAAGGGGTTTTTGGATTTTAGTGTGTGTAGGAAGGTTGTCAGGACACAGTGGAGAAAGATCAGTGCTCAGGTGCTGAACCATGAAGAAATGGTGTCAGGACACAAAACCTCAAGTTAGTGATTTCTGGAAAGATACTAAAAATTCTATTCAACTTTAATTCATTTATTTTCAAGGCACACGTCAAAGTATTAAATACATGCATTCTGTATTTCCTGAATTAAAATATATCTTTTTCCAAACGTTCATTTTTAAGAGTAGATAATAGAAATAAAAAGTAAAACTCTGGTATTCAGTAGCAAAGTGACATCAAATCAGTATTTGTCTAAGGATGTGTACTGGAAGACAGTGGGTGTTTATTGAATTCTCTTCTTTAGTCCAGTGGGAAAATCAATAAAACATCAATACTTAGGCTAGAAATCAATGGGTTACAAAAAGAGAATGAGGGACTAAACTACATCTCGTCATCTCGTACCGTCCTGCTGGCCGTGTTGTTTGCGCTGCACCTCCTTGCGGTACTCCTCCAGCTCCTGATCCGTCAGCTCATTGAAGGGATTTGGAGTCTCTGGTTCCAGTGTGGCTGGAGGCTCCACAGCCTCTGGAGACTGGAAGCCCAACGATCATGTTCGCATAATCAACACATGCTCACAAGCAAAATCATTTAGAAATGGATTTATGCTTAACTAGAACAAATATTTGCCAATGGGATAAGAAAAACAAACCTGACACAATAAACATCTGATACATGATAAATGTATCTTATTTTAAGGAAGTTTTTATTATTATTATTTTTTTCATAACAAGTGTAGACATGCGTATATATGAACTAAATGGCATTCTGTGATCTTACCGGTGGACTGTTTTCTGTG